GGCAAAAGTCACTGGGAGTCTGTTTAAACAGCCCCGATGCTGGCGACGTACACTGACAATACTGAGCTAACTGAAAGTAACACTGCCTAACTTCTATACTGGGATTATAATGACTCAGTCCAGGATATCCCAAGTACCCTACACTACTGGCCAGCAGTTATTCCTTAGACCCAAAATTCTGTTTGTAGGCTAAGTTCAGCAGTAACAGGTGGCCGCCAGCCTCTCACTACTCCTCTGGAGCGCAGAATTGGATGATGGCTCCCTTGTTGGCCAGCGAGATGGATGTCTCCCTCGCAAGCTGGCTACACCGTGGATTCTGTGGTGACATTCTGATGCAGTAACGCAGGTCTTGCTGTGGCAGTAACAGTCGATCGGGCACAGTGGCATCCAGGCGTTCACAGAAGGCAGCAGTGCCAGTCTCAGCTGGCTGGATCACTTTCCCTCAGTAGTAGTGGCGGTGTCAGACGATCTGGTGCTGCATACAGGTCTCTCTGTGTCCACTCTCAGCTCACTGATAGTCGTCACTGTTGCCCTAGGTAACTCCAGCAGTGGTTGTAGTGAAGTCTGTGGCTCCAGTGTCAGCAGTAGACTGGCAGAGTCCATTCATGTACGCAGCTGCCGGGAGAGTGAAAATGCAGATTTCCCCCCCATTTACAGTAAAAGGGGCTGAGCTAACACAGTTCTCTCCTCAGTTAATCAAGCCACCTGGGAACTGTAGTCCAATGCAGCATACATTTACATTATCTCTCCTTGTAGTGGGACTGCAACCCCCACAAGTCCTTTCATCTCCCAGCAGCAGTTGGTCTAAGTCTGTGTTACAGCCAATCAAAGTCTCTCTGATGCAGGCTCAGTTTGCTGTGTTCTGCAACTGATCTTTCCTCTTAAGGGGACAGTAACTAAGCAAGGGCTACACTACTTTAAATTGATAAGTCTTAATTTTGTAGTTCTGGCAGAGATAAAACATCAGAAATCGTTATAATTTATTGGGACTCTATTGGTGAGATTTCTGTGCTTCAATTCCAGGATCTGAATACCTGATGTGACTATTATGAAGGGCTTCAACTCTCCTTATTTAAAACACAAGAACACAACAGGAAGAGCTGGAAGATGGAAAAGTGGCGAGGAACAAAATTAGAAATGATGGAAGGAAGATGTTATTGCTGGACTATCCAAGACATATAAGAACACAGGGTGTGACTCAGTCCACCAGGCTATAACTAAACATCACAAGAGAAATGAGTCCTAGGAGAACCAAAAGGTAGAGAAAGATGCAATAGAGATAAAAAGGTGTATGGAGGATATAAGGATATTTTATAGAGGCTCTCATAATATATATATACATTTATTGTGTCTAACATTATTTGCCAACTGCTATTGCTACTTGTATAAATTACTGTGTAGCCAGACAGTGCTGGGTCCCATAGCAGCCTCATTGCTTGCAACGTCTTTGTATCCTGAGGGAAAAAAGGGGTTGATCCATCTTCCTAAATACAGCATATTAAATACATACAATGGTGCAGAACTATGTATAACATTAGTCATTGACAAAAATGGAGGTTGGATTACTTATTTACAGACAGACTGTATTATAGATTTCATTTTTAATTTTGCCAAAAGCTTCATTTTAAATGTACCTGTCAAAAGAAAAAATGTTTTGTTAGTTTTCTAATTTTATGGTGTATTTCCCCTGTGAAAGAGCCAGGTGTGTCCTAATGGTTTACTGACCCTGGGCTGTCACTATCACTCATTTGCTTTAGGGCTGCATCTAGTTTTGTAAATTAGTATTTTTAAAGCTATAATAAGTTTTTAACATACAGTACTCAGTACACACTGTAGTAACTGTATTCAGTAAAAAATTTTAAGGACTAATTCTTAAAGTAGAAGTGAAGTTGAAAAAAAAAATTCGGCAGGCTTTCTATGACAGAAGGGACTGTGTAAGTCTCTTCTGCCATAAAAGCTTCAAGTTCCCTGTCAGCATGCACAGCTCAGTGCACAGGTTCCGCATGCCAAGATGAAGTAGCTCTCATGTGCATGTGTGGAAATTACATAATTTAGCCCCGCCAATCGAGTGGCCAAAGACTTAAAACTCAGAAGCAGACCATATCAAAGATGGAAGCACTCGGCAAGGGGGATGCAGTGCTGGGGGCGGGATCTCTTTGACAGGTAAATCTGCCCACATTGTGCTAATATGCTGCGCATACTAGCACATTATGGCTAGAAGCTGCACGGGGCTTTCTTTTTTTCAATTGTTTTTTTCTTCCACTTTACGGAGGCACATTTGAGTATTTTTAGCAGGTTCAGGGGATACTTTACGATACATAATGTGTACAAATAGACAATATATGACACTAAACTCAGGAGTTAAATCTGCCAAAACAAAAATGCATTCAAGTACCTTTTCTAATAAAGTAACTCTAAACTCAGGAGTCAAAACATAAAAATGCATTTAAGTACCTTAGCTATTAACAAACGTAGTTTATTTGTGTATCACTCAAATGTAGATCCCCAAATCATCTCTGAACTCCTACTGACACTGTCCTTCCTTCTGGAGGGTGGCTATTTTTGTTCCCCATGGTCCCTGTGTGTGATGTAAATTAGCCATTGCTCCAAGCTTGCTCCTGTGAAGGACTACAATCTCAATACAAATAGGTAAACTAAACGTGAGACTGTAGTCCATCACAGGAGCGAGCTTGGAGCGGTGGCTACTTTATAACACACACAGGGACCATTGGGAACAAAATTAGTCACCATCCAGAAGCAAGGACAACATAGGCGTGCGCATGGGGTGTGCTTGCCCACACACTCATTACCCCCGTTCACATATGGCTGGCGGCGTGCTGATTGCTTATGGAGCTCATGTGATCCACAGCCCCGGAGAGCCCGGACGCCCCATGCAGCTGCTCTCGATCATGTTGCCGCTCGGCAGCACCTTGCTGCTCCTTAGCTCGGTTTTGCAAGGCTGCGGCCTGGGCAGGGTGGTGGGCAGGAGACCAAGCTCACCCCGCTCTCCTACAAACAGTTTAGCCCCAACGTGCCTGAGAATACCCCGGGGGCCAGTGGAAAGCATGAGGGCAAGATCACCCCCAACTCAGAGCTCTTCAAAGAGCTTACCTGAAACTACAACTCGGAGACTATCTTCAAAGTTGAGGAGAACACGGGGGCAGGCAGGCTCATGACACGAATGAGGGGCCCAGGGGTGGCAGTATGATACAGGTGACAGGCCCAGCTTTTATAAAGTGCTATATTCTGAACCCAAGCAGCAATCTACAAAAGAAGGCAGACTGCAGGTATTATCAGAGAGCAATGAATTGCATAGGTCATATAGAATAGTAGAAATACGGTATAAGCAGTATATGGCATATACTTTTGATATTCTACTATTCTATATGTCCTATGCAATTCATTGCTCTCTGATAGTACCTGCAGTCTGCCTTCTTTTGTAGAATGCTGCTTTAGACTATAGCACTGTATAAAAGCTGGGGCTGGTGAATATTGATTACAGAGGACCCCAATTCAGAAGCAGTCATTATTTTGCTGCATGTATGTGTCTGATATCTGCCACCTATCCAAAGTGTGTCTCTGAGCCCGTGCCTACATTTTTTACATGTATTTTATGTAATTTTTCTTGTTTTTACTTTACTTAATTTCTATCACATACAGGGGATTACAAGCCCCCTATGTGATGGCATACTAATGGTGACAGGTTCTCTTTAAGGTGATATTAGGCGTCGATTAGAAATTCTCTTGATTTCTGCTAAAATATAAGGATTGAAAACTTTATTTCATTCATCTCTAATCAGCATTAGGAACAATAGTTTTACAACAGTATTACTTAGCAGGGATACTGGGTTCTGCTTCAATCCCCTGTGAAAGATGTAAATGCAAATCAACACTCTCATTTCAGACGTTGTGCACATCTGTAGAGGAATGATGCAACAAGGCGATAAATGATGTACAAAGAGCAGTATTGAGCTCCGTGTATCTTTCAGCATAAAGGAATGCTTCCACTCTCTAATAAAGAAGTGGGCAGTGCAGGTTCCCATCACTGGCTACCCTAACAAACTGCTTCAGAGCCTCACATAGAATCCTAACATGAAGTCCCAGTGCCTGTCTTGACATGCTAACACGCTGCCACAGTGCCTACCTTGGTATGCTAGCACGCTGCCCCAGTGCCTGCCTTGATACACTAACGCACTGCTCCAGTGCCTGCCTTGGTACCCCGATGCACTGCCACAATGCTTGTCTTGATACCCTAACACACTGCTCCTGGGCCTGCCTTGGCATCCTAACACACTGCTCCAGAGCCTGCCTTGGTACCGTAACAACCTGCTCCAGTACCTGTCTTGGTACCCTAACGCACTGCCTCAGTGCCTGTCTTGACAACCTAACACAATGATCCAGAGTCTGCCTTGGCACCCTAATGCACTGCTGCAGTGCCCTCTTTGGTTCCCTAATGCACTGCTCCAGTGCCTACCTTGGTACCATAACACACTGTTCCAGTACCTGCCTTGGTACCCTAATGGACTGCTCCAGTGCCTGCCTTGGTACCCTAATGCACTGCAACAGGGTCTTCTTTGGATCCCTATTGCTCCAGTGCCTCTCTTGGTTCCCTAACACACTGCTCCAGAACCTGCCTTGCTTAGCTATTCTGTCACTTGTCTGGATGTAGCTGGGCATTGCATATGAGAGAGGGCAGAGAGCCAGACAGTGGAGAAAGAAATAGAGGGGTGATGATAAGGGAGATTTGGCACAGACAGGGGCCAGGAGGGAGGGCTATACAGACACAGTCTCGGGTGGGAGGGAGAGGAGGAAGGTCTGTTGCATCAGCTGCAGCTTTTATAGTGGCTGTGAGATCCCTACAGTAGAGTAGAGCAGAGAGTCTGCAGCCAGAGAGAACACAAAGCACTGACAGCAGCTCCTTCTCTTCCATTGTGTGTCTGCCCCTCTCACACCCAACACAGCGCAGCCAGCTCCCAGCACTGATCATCACCTGCACACTAAACTATCACCAGTTATGGAGAAGCCCTGCGAAGCCAACGGCCACATTGACAAGTACCCTGATTTCACAGTATACCCAATGGAGGAAACTGGCAAAGCTGCAAAGAAAAGTGCAGGGAGAAAATGTGCTCAGTTCCTGAAGAAGAATGCCATTGTCATCCTCACAGTATCTGGAGTGCTGGTAGGGGTTGGACTGGGCACAGCAGTGAGGACCATGAACTTGACCAAGGCTCAGATGACCTACTTTGCCTTCCCTGGAGAGATGCTGCTGAGGATGCTGAAGATGATTATTCTGCCACTGGTTGTGTGCAGCTTGATCTCTGGGGCTGCCAGTCTGGATACCAGGTCACTGGGCAAGTTGGGTGGCATCGCTGTGGCTTACTTCTTGGTGACCACTCTCATGGCTTCAGGGTTAGCTATAGCCTTGGGCTTCATAATTAAACCAGGGGCTGGGGCAAGTGCTCTGAACTCTAATGCCCTGGGCATTGAAACCACTATCAGCACCAATAAGGAGACAGTGGACTCATTCCTGGACCTTGCCAGGTAATATCTTTACCTTACACTATTACTGAATTCTAAAGGACAGATATATTAGGGAATAACATTAAATCTGATTATGAATTCCTTTTTTTCTTAGTAAGTGTCAGGATTACTTGAATGCTAATTGTCCTGATTGAGAAAACACCTGCCAGGATACATTTTATTCAGTCTTATTGCCGGTAGTTGAAGATTTACAAAAGCTGGGTGCAGGTAGCGTGATTTGGCCATAGGCAGGAAGATATACCACCGATAAGGATACTTCAATGTTCAGCTCCCTCATAGAGATCATTTCCCCCACTTTTTCAATAGGAATGTGTATACATTACAGGTAGTGCAGATATTTGCTCCTCACCATGCTTCCTTATAGAATGAATAGTGAAATATAACTAATTCTTTCATATTGGTGAACCTTGAAGGGTAAATATGTTTGCTATATAGCAATGCCCCAGTGAATGATTAGTTGCATTCTCCTAAATGTAGTGCTTCTATATAAAGTGCTTCTATATACTTGTATGCACAGGCTTATAGCTGCTCCGATATGATGCAATCCCTCTACAGACTTACATGTAGATAGTGTGGGCACAAGTGCATATATATTATTCATAGGTCAGTATGAGACTTGTGACCATTCACTATGCTGATACTACAATCATTTACATTTGTCAAAGCTGATGTATTTTACTGGCTGGATGACAGTGTGATTACAGCTAAAACTGATCCAGAGGCAGAGTTCTGATCAGACAGATGTTACATGATCCCACTGCTGAATTCCAGATGTCCAACAAATGGGGCATCAATTATATATATAAATTTTCTGCTTTAAGTTATATTTTCCAATAAAGAAAAGCTGCAATATTTTAGTTTTTATATGTAAACGCCTTTTTTTTTGTAATATTGAATTTTCATAATTCCCTTGCAAAACATCTGGTGTGTCAAAAGGGTGAACTCATGAGTCACACACTGGAGGCTAACATGAGAGCAGAGCAAACTGACACAAAGTCAAATATTTGCAGATCTGACAGTATCATATTGCTTGTACTGTACCATTCAGAAGTTAGACACATAAAGCTCAACGGAGTCTCTATAGGGGAAGTATTTGAGACTTTGAAAATGGAGGCTCGCTCTTTGTTGTGTGGCTTGGCGGGACAGAAAAGGGGGCTAACTGCACAGAAAAAAAAAAATGATTTGTATACAGCGGCTGTTATAACTGCTATGAAGTTTTACTCTTTAGATTTGAACATATCAAATCACTTGGGAAAAGATACTCTATGATCCTTTTCAATCAGCTTTTTACAATATTAGAATAGTAGTTTTAGGTCATTTTATTTACAGCCTCAGACAGATTCTTTTTATTTATAAAGCAATATTTCAAGGTATTTTGTAACAAAAAAATACAAATCATAACATGCAAAGGTACAGGTACAGATAACATGTGTGACATTTATTTCAATTGGCCTGTAAGGCAATCCTTTACTTTGCCACTATTCACAGAAACCACTAGCAAGTATGAATTGTTCAGGTTGGAATGAACGAGTGCAAAATCATTGAACCCCTGAGATGCAGTTTTTCCACTATTGGTTGCCCCCATTTTTTTAGCACAGCACCTAGAACCTAAAGCTAGGTTGTCAATTAAACCCCCTACATTAAATAACATCATATGATAAAATCATATCTGAATTGGTGCTGACACTGTCCTTTCTGGAGGGTGTCTACTTTTGTTCTCCACAGTCCATGTGTGCATTGCAAAGTAGCCACTAGGGCTGCAACAACTAAACGTGAAAATCAATAATAATCCATTATGAGAATCGTCGCCAACAATTCCGATTAGTTGAGTCAGCTCAGCAGCCCCAACCCCCCCCCCCCCCCCCCCCCTCAACTCTTCTCATCCATTCCCTAGCAACTCTGCTCAGCCTTCCAACACCACCCGCTGCCGCAACTCTACTCTCCATTAACCCCACCCCCTCTGACCATTGCTACTTTGCTCAGCCATTCCCATTGACCCATCGACACACCCCCTACTGCTGACACCACTGACTTGCCTCTGAGCTGCTGCTCTACTGCCCGCTGCAGTCTGTCACCTCTGATTACGCTGCTCTCCCTTGCCTGTATCAGCAGAGGTGGGCATCGGAAAGGGACACAGACTGGCTGTCAGGCACTAGGGAAAGAGAGATGCCAGGGTCAGGACACAGTGCGGCGGTGCTGGATGGGTTGGAGAGGCTCGGAGGCAGTGGGTGTGTGCAATAGCCAGTCTGCTATTGGCTATTGCATTTTGAAATAGCCAAAAGCAGGCTGGCTGTTGCACTCGCCCACTGCCTGCTGTCAATCAGTAGAGGAGGACTTGAAAGAGAACTTTCTCCTTTTAGGTGCTTTTCCTTTAGCTCCTTTTCTGATTGATAGCAGGCAGGTCCAATAGTCAGCCTGCTATTGGCTATTTCAAATTGCAATAGCCAATAGCAGGCTGGCTATTGCACACACCCACTGCCTGCTGTGTTTACATACCCTGGCTGAAGCTATTCAAGCCATGTGTGCTTAAATATCTCCTTTGAAGTGGAAAGGCGACCCTTGGGGTCTCATAGACTCAATGTCACCTTGTAGTGAACTTGTCATCTCCAATGTGCTATCACATAAGGGGCTTGTGAGCCCCTCAATGTGATAGCAATGAAGTAAAAAAAAAAAGTTAAAAAAAATAAAGGTAAATAAAATACATTTAAAAATACCCAAAAATAAAAATGTAAAGTCCCCCACCCCCACAAATGTGTTCATAGGAACAGAAACACAAGTTTGGTGCACCTACGTACAAAAATGACGATTGCGTAATACATGTCAGATATTGCCACGTGCGCCAGAGTGAGAGCAATAATTCTCAATATTCATGGCTAGCTCTAAACTGATGACCAGGCTTATATTACAATTTTATATATAATAGTATTTTTTGTCCAATTTTAGTGTGTTATTTTAAAAAAGTTTGGTAATTTTATTATGTTGGTTTGTAATTTTTCAATTCAGATTATTTTAAATCCATGAAACTTATTAAAATGCCTTATATAATACATACAAGCATTAAAAAATTCTGCTACGGGACATGACTCCCGCCCGCAGTGGGATTGCCTGCATTAGAACGCGTGGTACCACAATTGCCCCACGTTCCAGTGTTGTACGATTGCAAAAATTCGTGCATGCAGTTTTATTCTGAAATAAACATTTGTGTATTTTATTTTAAATTAAAGATGGTATAAATTTTCATTTTTTATATGATTAATCGAAAAAATAATTGGCCAACTATGAAAAAAATTGTTAGTTTCAGTCCTAGCCTAGCCTAGTCCTGCTCCAAGCTTGCTTCTTCCTGCTGCTGAGTTGGGTCCCTGGCAATAGTATAAGAGGGTACAATATTTCTAGCTTCTGAATATTTATCTCCCCCTGGCCAACCACTAGAAGGTTTATTGCCAGCGGTTCATTATGGAAAAAGGTTGGGAGAATCTTCTGAAAGCTCTCTTGCCTCCCAGGATTTGCCTGGGGAAGACCTGTATGATGTTAAACCCCTCCCAGGCCAGTTGCTTGGGGAGAACTTATGTGCTTTAGAAGGAAGGCTTGGATTTGGGGCTCACTAGCTTGCATTTTCTTGCTGGAGGTGTTGCCCAGAACGAGTGAAGCTGGAACCTGGGATGGGAGCACCAAGAAGGAAGTTCATCTGCCAAATAGTGTTTCAAAGAACGAGGTGAATGCTTGAACACTACAGGAAGTCTAGTGGCTGATCCAGGGAGCTGTAAACTGCATCTAATTAGAGTCTCAAGGTCTGAAGAACACAGAGTATTGGTCTTGGCTTAAAGGAGAACTATGAGATGAGTGATTTCCACTCACCTCATAGTTCTAGCCGACCTGTGACAATGAGACTGTCACAGGTCGGCTCAGTAGATCGGGAGGTGAGCGAACACATACCGGGTTCGCTCACCTCTCGATCGTGTCACGGCTCTCTGCCGTGGCAGGGGGAGGGGCTGGATTCCTCCCTCCCCGCTCCGATCTGCCAGCGCTGACTGGCAGAACAGACGGGGGAGGGGGCGGGTAGCTTGCGGTATACTGAGCTTAGGGTAACGGGAGGATGCTAGTTTGTGTCCTCCCGTTACCCTAAGGAGAACTATGGGGAAAAACACTGACCCCATAGTTCGCCTTTAAGGTCCTTTTCTGTGTAACTGGTGTTGCTTTTTGGGTGTTCTGTGCCCTAACCCACTAACCCTCTATACTATAAGACTTTTTCATTCAGCATACTTACTCACTGTTCTCTTTTTCTGTAATTATAATAATTAAACAAAGAGTCATGGTTTTCTTCCATCAAGAGAAATTTTACCATATATGACAAAGTAAGGTTTCAGCAAACTTTAAACCTAATCCTAATCTGTTTGAACAATATATTGAAGATAGCCAGTAGATCTGGATGGAAACTCCTGCTGAACTATTGTCTACCTGTGTATCTGATTATTGTTTGACTCTAGATATTCAGAGGTTTGGCTCAGGTGTGGAAAGCCTTGAATTGCCAGATTTGATCATTCTTAGGTTTTTGGCCAAATCCAAAAACATCAAGCAGCTGAAATCCAACCCCTTGGCGGTATGGGTGGTCTGATCTTAGCATGTGAGGGCAGATTACATTTTCAAAGCAGTTACATTAGCATCTTCTCGTTTATTTGTTTATAATACTTTATATTACAAGCTGTGCTTTTAAGCACTATTCACACTGGTCAGTATGAGTCTTTCTCCTACTTGTTATGGTTTCATTCACCTCACTATAATGATAATGGGATTTTGTTCAGTGACAAAACTCAGCGTACAGTAATGTGTTGTAATTGATTTGTGCTATCATCCTGAACCACGTTCCTGGAATAGATACAGGAATCCCGGGTAGACTGTCATACTCAGTGATGTTAAATTATTTATTAGTTTCCAGCAGTGAGCGGCCAGTGATCCAATAAAGCAGTTCTTGTTCCTACAGCCGGAAGTATTTTACTCTGCAA